CAGAGTTTTGATTAATACTATTCCAATGAACATGAAACACTGTTCCCTTTGTAAGTTGAATTCTGATAAAACAATTTGTTTTATATCACATCGAAGATCAAATACACAGCAGGTTGCTTAAAGGCAGTCTTCATATTCCGTATATAGGTGTCCCACTGTAGTAAAAATAGAAATAAAAATTATTAAACAATTAAAGCCTTAGAATAACTACACTATTTTGTTCCTGTTCAATGAAGAAATCGGGTTGATATTTAAAATCTGAGAGTTTCTTTCCCAAAGTATGAGATGTGGAAAACAATTCTGCAGGTAGACCCCCAAATGGCACAAATTTTCAAGGGGGGCCACGCCTTCATTTTTAGTGCTATTTTCATGAAGATCAGATCCATGATTTTCTAGGAATGTATTTTCAGAATGTAAAGAATGTTGAAAAAATATATTTTTTCCCGATTTTAGGTACAGATTGTGCCTGTATTATGGTGGGTAATATCCTTCCTTTTTTAAATACATTTTTTTTGCTCTTTTGTTTTATCCTTCTCTTGTTTTCCGCTTTTTTCCCTTGGAAATTGAATTTGAGTTCCTATCTTAATTTTTGAAGTTTTTCTGTTCAAACTGTTCCAGATCATAATTGTGATTAACTTTCTGGACTTTAGAAAGGGACTGAATAAATAATTTACTAATGCATTTTATTTTTGTTACAGCCTATTTCCCTTTAGTCTTAAGGTGACTTTAGTGTTTTCTAAATAAAATCCCCTGTCATCCCAATATCATGCTGTATGTCACTCAGGCGGGCAGTAACGTTTCCATTTTTCTTGCAACGCACGAAGGGCTACGGTTGGTTACGGGTTACAAACGTCTATACATACATACTATTATGACGATAAACTTTAAGATAACAACTGTCATAATAACAAGACTTGATGATTTTTAAAAACTCCAAAGGCCAAAAAGGGGCTGAAATACAGCAGGGACGTTAAAACTCCATCTATATTTCTTTTGTAAAGTAACACTGAAAGATTACAAGAAGAAAAATAAACCTCACAATAAAATATGACCAGGGGCGTAAATAAGGATTCTGTAGGGGGGGGGGGGTGCACAATTTTAGAATTCGAAATTTTTTTAACCCCCCTCCCCCCCTAGAAAAATATCATGATGTATATCAAATTATTTGTTTTAATTGGGTTTGATTTGCATTTTCCACTCATTTATAGCTTTTACAAACTCCATCAAAAAAAGGCTTTATTTCATACCTTTCAGCTTTCACCTTGTTTTATACCCTTCATTATAGTCATTCATTTGACATTAACTACGAAGATCTGTAAGAAAACTGAATTTATTTCAAGTAACATAAAAAATTATAGTTTTACTCTTAGAGGAAAAAGATGTTACTTTTTTAAATCTTTAGAAAAGCTACTATAAACTTTGAAGAAAAAAAAAATTGTCGTTGTGTATTTCCTTATTTCTAATTTCTAAAATTTTCTTGTCGTAAAATGTATTTTGCATAGCATATACACTTTTTTTCTATAAAAAACATCTAATTTTAATGACATTTACTGAAATCTGAAATATCTGCACATTTAAATTATTTTCGTGCAAATTTAAAAGATATTCAATTTTAAAATCAAATTTTTTATTCTAGGGGGGGGGTAATTACTCCCAGGATTCTAGGGGGGGGGGAATAATCCATATACCCCCCCTTATTTACGCCACTGAATATGACACTTAATTAATGATACGGCACGTTTTATAAAGAAATTATCATGTTTAGATGAACACACTGTATATAATACCCAAGATTTTTCGATCTTTAAAAAAAGTTCAGAAGTAAGGGTCAAATGTTGCTTGTTAGCAAACTTTATTTGTTGACATTGATAAGAAAATAAGGGAAAGCATATATAATTCAGAGAAATTAGAAATGCGTTTTAGTTCAAGCTAAACCATAGGCTGTAACAAAAATACAATGCATTAGGAAAGTATTCGTTCAGTCCACGTTCAGTCACTTTTGAAAATTCGTCAGGGCGAAAATGGAATCTCCGACCATAATCAACATGTAACAAAGGCAAACAAGTTGAGAATTAAGAAATACAAAAATCTGCCAAAATTTCAAGATTTAGATTTTTATGGTTTTCAATAACTTTTTCAGACCTAAATCAATATTCCAGTTTCCATGCAAAATCGGAAAGAATTGTGTGGAAAAATAAAGATGTGACCCCCTTTTTTACTGATTTTGTCTTTGATGGCAGGAAAAATTATTTGTTCATTTTGCGCATTTTTTACAGTAAATTTAATTTTTTTGTCTTGCTGTTTTTATTTTCAATATGCAAAAAGTTTTCACCGAAGAAATAAATGAAAAATACAGGGGAATTTTTTTTGGTGCATTTCTATTTGAAGTCTAGAAAGTTAATCACAATTATGATCTGGATCCAATGTTTGAACAGAAAAACTTCAAAAATAAAGACATGAACTTAAATTCAATTTCCAAGGAAAAAATGGCAGGAAACAAGAGAAGGGAAAAATGTATTGAAAAAACATGGAAGAATATTACCCACCATTATTTGTACCTAAAATCAGAAAACCTATATTTTTTCTAAAAAACGAGGAAGATGCGGGAAAAATGTTGTTATAATTTTTATTGTTTACATTTTAAAAATACATTCCTGGAGTTAATCAATAATCTGATCTTTATGCAAAATCTCAAGAAGATAGCACCAAAAATTAAGTTGTGGCCCCCCTTAAAAATTTGTATCCTTTGGGGGAAAATGAGCCCATTCTCCTTTAATTATTTTCCCCAACTCAAAGGAAGAGAGCGATATAGTACCAATTGAAGTCCCCTTCACCTTTTCAACTTTAATCTCATTAGGGCTGGCGTTTACTGTCGTATACAAATCTAGTCTACAATCCGCTTTGAATATTACAAATTGCAATTATTTAGCGCCGGTTAAAATTTTGCGTTCCTGTTCATTAGTAAATATTGTGAGCACATTTTCTTTTAACGTCATACTTTTATTAAACAAATAAAAATACAATTAAGAGAAATACAAAAATTGTCTTACAATGCAAAAATCTCACAAGATATATATTAATGAAATAAAAACATAATACACACAAATTCTAAAACTACCGTACAAATTTTGAGTATCTATCTATATTCTAAATGTTACATGGTTAAACTAATATATTTACATATACCAGGTATAAGTAGGAAGGGTTGGGGTATTAAATACATTTCCTTAAAAATTAGACCAGAACTAAAAATTGCGAATTTTCTGTGATTATTTGATTCAATCTTTAAAAATTTTTAGATTTCGATAGAAATAACTCATATACACATTTTTGCTTTTCTAAACTTTTGATTTTGAGAGAAAAAAGGTTCGCGGATTTTCTTTTGGACCATTGGAGTGCCAAAATAATTTACAAATTTTCCTAAAATATTGAAAAAAAACCATAGAGGAAAGTTGCTAAAAAAGGTACAATTTTGCACCAGGCGCCGCTAATCACAATTTTTTTTTACCCTGTAGTACACACTATATTTACAGTGGTAGGCGACAATATCAATATAATGAAGAAAACTTTTTCATTTAAGATTTGATTGTTAACAAGCTTTTTTTGAATTACAAGTATACTAGTAATCAAAGAGAAGCTTTTTTAATTGACATCTTCTCTTTACTTCTATGTTTATGTGTATCCATGCTGTTTAGCAGCTTGATATAAATCAAAATTGAAATCAAAAGTCGTCTTCATTGTATGATATAATCGCCTACCCCTGTAGTATATATGTTATTGTGTGTTCTGTTGTTTTGAACCGCTAAGAAACTAGTTTCTTTGTATACAGACATAAGATATACAAACTTTATAATTGACTGTCACTTGACATTGGTGCAATATCATCTTTGTTATTGTTTACAAAATAAATTGTTCCAAGCAATCCAAAGACTGAAAAATTTGAATTTTGAATAAGTTAAACTAACTAGGTCAGAACTTTTATTGATGAAATTCTTGAATGTGAAAGTTGAAACTCCCGTCAAGAAGAGAAAAAGTTTTACTCATTTCGTCCGTTTTAAAATTACAAACATAGAACATAATTGAGTTTTTAACTTTATTCCCCCATCCTCCTTAAATATCGTCATTGACAAAATACATTACTTTGGTCCCAGTCTTTGAACTCATCAGATAATATACAGTTTATTCTAGGGCTAATATTAACCCATGAGCAGCAGGTTTAAATATTTAATATTTAAATATTTAAATATTTAAATATTTAAATATTTAAGATTTTTCACGATTTCTTTGTAAAGTAATTGTAGATTTTTAAAGTAAACACGCAAAGTTTTTTTTTCAAAATTTAACCTATAAAAAAATTTGCAACTAGTTGTCAGTTAACACCATAAATATGTGAGATATGACATTGTACATATATAGGAGGGAACAAATATGTTGAAAATTCTTAATTGAGAAAATTTATTTTAGCATTTACTTTCGTGTTTCATCAGAGACTATGAGATATTGTTTAGCAAACTTATCATTGACTTACCGGAGACTTATGCCATAGAGATCCAAAGGTTGCAAGCTCTCACGGAATGAGAATTCTTTACAATTACTATTTAAAACTAAAGCTAAAAAACAAATGTTTTATAGTTCTAAAATGTACATGTCCATGGCAACAAAAAAGCATAAGTGAGTTAGTGAGGTAAACCACTGGCCAAGGAGTTAAAAACCGACCAAGTCTTGAAAATTGATGCAACTGGATTAATGTGAGTCATGTAGGTTGAAGTTTTAACCCCTCTAGTTACTAATTTTCAACTAGGTTACCAACATGCCTCCGATAGGTCTCCAATTTTCTTCCGATCGATAAACTATCTATATCCCTCTTCATGATAAGTCATCCGATGTGCCTCCGAAATGTCACCAATATGCCTCCGATGCATGTATATGATAATATTTTTTCCAAGGTTCGGGGAAAATCGTAAAAGGTACAAAAATGTGCAAACAAGGGGAAAATTCTAAGATCTTGAAAAATTTATTTTCCTTCTATTTTGATTCTACTGTACATGCTTTATGTACACAGCTTCTCTATCTGTCAAGGTCATTGTCTCACTCGTTAAATCCTGTAAATCCTGAAATGTTTAGACTTTTTATACGTTGGTAGGCGATTATATCAATATAATGATTTAATTAGATTTTAATTTTGATTTATATCAAGGTTTTAAACAGCATACGGTGGTAGGCGATTATATCAATATAATGAAGACGACTTTAGATTTTAATTTTGATTTAAACAGCATGGATACACAAAACATGGAAGAAGAGAGAAACTGTCAATTTGAAAAGCTTTTCTTTAATTGTTTGTAGAATTGTAATTCGAAAAAAAAGCCTATTAACAAGTAAAACTTATATAAAAAAGTCGTCTTCATTATATAGCTAAAATCACCTACCACCGTATTAAAAATTTGAGGGTTTCTTTTTGTTGTGACATCCTTAAAAATAATCGTTTATTTACTTATTATACAGAAAAAGAGATGTAAAAATTTGCAAGCCATTATTGTAAACTTGTTTTTTTTAAACCTGAAGCTCTGTAAACTTGTTATTTTAAACCTGTAGCTCAGTAAACTTGTTATTTTAAACCTGTAGCTCAGTAAATTTGTTAATTTAAACCTGTAACTCAGTAAATTTGTTAATTTTAACCTGTAGCTCAGTAAATTTGTTAATTTAAACCTGTAGCTCAGTAAACTTGTCATGTCCTCTTATATGCGCGTAGTTGGCGGAGAGCGCCATCAGGAAGTGAACCAAGGACATCACCACAAGGAAGCACGCGCTTGTAGCAATGATAAACATCACCTGATACGGATAATACCAATGTGAGTATATTAAGGGTCGGGAGGAAAGGGGTTGTGTACATTTTTTAAAGTGACGTAAGGAACTGGATTTATCAGAACAATTTGATACAGACTTACCTGGAAAATACAAGGAGTTGGTCAATGGTTAAAGAAGGAAGGAAAAAAAGAAAATCAAACTTTTAAGACGACATTTAATCACCTCTGCTCGCTCGACGTAATCCTTGCAAAACATCTTTATTTCCTTTTGGCCCTCAACCTCCATGTTCACTTTTTGTGTTCCTGAAAAGAAAAATTGGAGTAAAGTGTTTTTCGGAAGGAAGTTCTCCGTTCTGAATCAATCCTAATTCTACCAATAAAACAGCTGATGCAGGTGGTTAATTTTAAGAAGTTTTCGTGATTTCAAAGAAAGAAATTTATCAAAAAAAAAAGTTTGTTATGAAAGTTATATCTGCAGCACTTTGTGAAATTAGATGTAGTAAATGTCGGGAAAGAAAACTTAAACTTCTAAATTTAAATACTTAAAAGTTTTAAAATGTCAAAAGAAATTATAATTATTATTAGTTTCATTCTGTTATGACGCAGAGCGTCATGAGCGCAAAAAATGGAAACTTCTTTACTGTTGCCAAGCCACGTTTTATTGTTGGGAAAAATTTTAAGTTTAAATAGATAAAATTATAAAAAATGTGTCACCTTCTGGGAAGAGGAAATGGAAAGGATAGAAATCAATTTTCTGTTCATCATATTGTATTTCTTTTGTACTGCATATTCCTGTAAATATAATGTTATTTAGTTCACAATCATGATTTTTAATTGGTCAAAAACTTGACTTAGGGAGAAGAAACTTTATACATATCCCGAGAGGGAGTTAAAGATTTATATATAATTTAGACTCCAGCTGAGAGACTAGAGGATATAAATTTAGCCCAGCTTAAGGAGTAGAAAATATATATTTACCCCAGCTTAGAGAGTATAAGATATATATTTACCCCAGCTTAGAGAGTGGAAGATATATATTTACCCCCAGCTTAGAGAGTAGAAGATATATATTTACCCCAGCTTAGAGAGTAGAAGATATATATTTACCCCCAGCTTAGAGAGTAGAAGATATATATTTACCCCAGCTTAGAGAGTAGAAGATATATATTTACCCTAGCTTAGAGAGTAGAAGATATATATTTACCCCAGCTTAGAGAGTAGAAGATAGTCATGATGATACAGCAACCCAGCACTAGCAACCAGGCCAATAACAGTATGTACCTGTATAATAATAAGGCTGATAATAAAATGATATAAATAAAAATAATTTTGCTAAAATATTGATTTTTTATCAAAGATTGTGAAAATATAAAATGTAAAATTAAATAAAGAATATTGCTCACGTGATAAATATGAACGCAGCACTAGCAATCCTTCCTCCGACTCTACCAACAGAACTCCTATATACCTCCTGCCTTGTTGCTCCTACAATTAATTATATTTTTATATAATCAATTAATCCATAATCGATAAAACAAATGTTTAAAAAAATCGCCTTAAAATAAATTTTTATCCGACCTATATGTATTTATCAAGTATGGTAACCCTAACCCTGGAATATTCTAGAATATCCTGAAATATCCTGGAATATTCTGGAATATCCTGGAATATCCTGGAATATCCTGGAATATCCTGGAATATCCTGGAATATTCTGGAATATCCTGGAATATCCTGGAATATCCTGGAATACCTGTTGCTAGAATTGCTGTTCCAAGGATCATGAGTGCTATAGCGGCCATACTGGCTCCAAGGATTACAAAGGCAAGCTGTGTCGGTTCAACCCTAAAATATTAAAACATCTGTGAACACTTCTACCCTTGCTGTGGAGTGGGTAGTAAGTTAGTTTGCTTTTAGTTAGTTGTTTGCCTTCATTTTCTTTCAGGCTAAAATTAAACATAGCATAAAAAAGCAAATGTTTTAAAATTGTTTATTCTAATAATTTACTTTTCTTACATTATTACAAAATTTGACCCTGACAGAAAATATATATATACAAGAAACAAACCAAAAACTAACTTGTAAATAACGATCGTTTTTCTACTTTTCGTTTATGGAACAAATATTGCAAACTTTAATAGAATACAGTTTTGAAATCTTTTAAGTTTTATATAAAGTTTTGAAAAGTGACCCAAAACGATTAAAGACACTATCAGTGGGAAGCCTTAAATTGACAATTTGATTAATCAATTCCAATCTATTTCATAGTTTCCAGGAAAAACAAATTAAGTTGTATCTTTAATCTAAATAAATATCTAAGTGCAGAATATAAATCATATATATTTCATGTCTTTACCCAAAAATGTGAAGACGTGTGAAACAACTTTACAGATTTATCCAGTTTCATTTTTTTAATTGATGGTTCACTGCAACTAGTTTTTCATACTACATAATCTTTTTATAAACCTAAGGGTGTAATGCAAGGAAAGTTAATTGCGGTCGTGTACCTCTGCGTAAATATTGAAACCAGTTCTCTTTGGGCGGATTTTGTAAACAAGAATAGATGCATCAGTGTTCGTTTAGTATCCGAGGAGGTTAAAAGCATTACATTTTGATAATTTTGATAATTAACATAATAGTTTCCTAAGACCAGAATATTTCATTGATTTTTTATGTGAAATATGGATCCCATGTCTAGCTTTGGCATCCATCTTGTGTTTACATTACCGCCCAGAGACAGTACACTGCAGTACAAAAGATGTGTACACTTCTAAAATAACTTTCCTTGCATTACATCCTTGTATAAACCTAAGATTACATTTAATGCCAATGACCGAATTCAAAACTTTAGGTTTTATTTTTATAGGTGGTCATTAAAGTCTCAATTTTTGAGGTTAATAAAATATGTGCATTTGTATTTTTTTAATACAAATGTACAATTGAATGAACCGACAAACCCAAAGCAAAATATTGTCAGCAACTATATTTATTCTTGATTTCCAGCTTAAAATTATATAAAATATTGAAGACACAAATGATGAAGCTACAGAAATTGTGTACAGGATATAGCACATTATTATATTCCTGATAATGATAATTTGTTTCGGGTATACACACACTTCATGAATCAAGTGAATTAAACCTTTACAACGTGAAATGATGACAAAAAGCACAAAAAATGGATATAATTTTTTCATCCTTACCATTTCCCTGTCTAGGAATCAGTAGTTTAGAGTATGATTAATCTTTGGGATAAGCACTAGAAGAGATAAAGAAGACAAAATTCAAATTCAAATGATAAGTTTTTACAGAACAAATGCTTACCACTGTAAACCTTTGTCTAGCTTGAATACATCCTGCAGTAATCTCAAGGTTAGATTTACACCACGGTACATAGTTCCACAGAAAACTCCAACCTAGATACATGCAGTACATACAGTGTACATGGAGTTGGGAGGATTTGTCGAAAATAATTTGGTAAAGTTTAGACGTAGGACAGGTAAGCCTCCTCGCCTCACACTCACATTAGGTAAGGATTTATAAAAATTTATTTTAAGGATTTATAAAATTTTTTTAAGGATTTATAAAAATGTATCAAAGGAATTGAGTTTTTGTAAACCTTTGATATTTCAAACTCAGACTATTTGATCTAACAGAATTCATAGTTTGAAAAATCTAAGGTCTGTAACATTTGGTTCCAAAGATATAGTAGATATAGGGATTAGAAAATCAGAGTTTGTGGCAAAGACTCAATTCCTTTACTGGTCAAAATCAGCGGAAAATATTAGAGAAAGATCAGGCATAAGACAGGTATAAAACTATGTCATGAGGTTGTATTACTGGTATAGGACAAGATTTAGGACAGTTCGGTCTAGGTTGAAGAACAAGCACTTTATTGTGAGGTAAAGGACACTGACCGAACATATTTATATAGGATAAATAAAGGACAAATTTGGAACATGTAAAGAACTAGGTTTAAAACACCAGGACGCGTGTAGGACGCTAGGACATGTATAAGACTCTTGACATGTATATTGTATAGGACACTAGGACAGATATAAGCCACTAGGAAAAGTATAGGAAAATAGGATAGATATAGGACACAAGGACAGGTATAGGACAGAAAGACAGGTATAGGGCACAAGGACAGGTATGGGACATAATGACAGGTGTTTGACATACCCCAGCCCAGCACATAATGAGAGCTATTAATGTAGCATACGGTATTCTTGTAATACATCCTCTACAACCTCCAGACTTCGTTCCAGAACCCATCTTTTCAACTAAAATATAAATTTTAGTTAATTCAAACAGATTATAAACGTTAGGTTGATAAACAAAGGTCAACACTTTTGTGTGAATAGTGCTAATCTACAACACTTAATCTCGATATTCACAGTGACAACTTTTAGTTTTCGATCACATGATTATCTAAGGAGATTTAATTTAATCCTTCAGACTATCGACAAAATATGCGGTTTAGTGCTTAATCCTGGGATTAACAACACAAAAGTTCTGACATTATGGCGTAGAAGTCGTCGTTGGGTAATCTTTGTATTGATCGAAGATAATTTAAAATTATATTTTCAATCCCTTTTACAACTGTAAATCACAATAATATAAGACTTTCTCAATAAGAACCAATAAATTGAAATTGGATTTTTAATGAATTCTACATTGAAATAACTATTTTTTTTGTTGTAAAATACTGAAAATACTGAAAACTATACAATTTTGTTTGAAAATAACCAAGATTTGAAAAGTAAAATGTTTCATAAAAAATCATAACTTTCCATTGATTTTCTAAACATTGAATAAAGCTTGGTACTAACTTTGGTTTGAAATAATTCAAATTTTCCCGGGCTTTTGATAAAAATGAATATGTTTAAATCTTATATCATATTCACAGCTCTTCTCTCTCAGTCGATCATTTCCAAAATATATTCTGAAAATGGAAAATATTAAGATTTTAAATTGTGAATTATTTAATTATAATTAAAATGTAGTTTCTTGTTGTCATGTATAAGGAAATATGTCAATTGCTTTTAATAATGTAGATCTTGTTTTTGTATATTGCCTAAAATCAGCGTTATGACAAACTCCTAAAATTCAAACTCCTAAAAAACAAACTTTGGAAGAAAAACACTCCAGAAAGACTAACTAACTTCGAAAGAGACAAACTCCTAGAAAGATGAACTCCAGAAAAAGTTTTGATTTAATATTTACTAGCCATGCACTCGGCCACCTAACATATTCTAGCATCGGCACTCGATACCCTAACATATTCAAGCTACAGAGCTCGCCCTTCAGCCTATTCTAACCCTAATCTACATTTAATCCTACCCTTTCTCCGATTCTATCCCATGTTTGGAATACATCCTTGCCGAGGATATTTCAGAACAACATAGCTGCATCAAATTCAATATATTTGTCAATAATTGAAGGAGTGGAAGTTATCGTATATCATACAGAGTAAAAGTATTTTATCTATCTATCTATTATTGGGCTACCATAGGTTAAGCCTAGCAGACATTGTACACCCCTCTTAAAAATTAAATTACTGTATTATTTCCCGACTCTTATTACCAATCGTACCAATCATAAAATGGACAAATCTATCTATCTATCTATCTATCTATCTATCTATCTATCTATCTATCTATCTATCTATCTATCTATCTATCTATCTATCTATCTATCTATCTATCTATACTTCAATTCTTTAAACTGCATTCTGTTGTAAAATTTATAATTTACGTACGCCTGTAAAAACAAGCATATATGCTCACTACAAAAAGAGGAGGAGGGGGAGGAGAAAGATAAGGTAAGTGGTGCCTGTAAAAGGGTATGTAATATATATGGAAGGAATTGGGAAAGAGGAGATATGGTATGGAAGATTGGGAAGGTTGGGAAAGGGGTAGAGAAAATATAGAAGGTTGGGAAAGGGGCAGAGAACATGCAGTATAAAAACTGTATGCACTGAATCTATGTATATTGTATACACTTAATCTATGTATATTGCAAACACTGAATATACTGTATAAACTGTATCTATTGTATACACTGTATAAACTGTATTCATTGTATACACTGTATAAACTGTATCTATTGTATTCACTGTATAAACTGTATCCACGTAGATTGTATACACTGTATAAACTGTATCTATTGTATACACTGTATAATCTATGTATATTGCAAACACTGAATATACTGTATCTACGTAGATTGTATACACTGTATAAACTGTATCTATTGTATACACTGTATAAACTGTATCTATTGTATACACTGTATAAACTGTATCTATATTTTATACACTGTATAAACTGTATCTATTGTATACACTGTATACACTGTATTCACTATATCTATGTATAATTGTATTCACTGTTTAAACTGTATCTATGTATATTGTATACACTGTATAAACTGTATCTATTATATACACTTTATTAAACTGTTTCTATGTATCTTTTTTGCATTCACTCGATTTTCTGTAAATTTACTTTACACCTTCATGCACACTGTACAATAAAATGTATACGATTACGAAGTTTTCTTGATCAACTGGTTTCACCAGGCAAAATACAAAGCAGTGGCGGTACAGGAAGATAAGCAGTTAGCAAGCAGTTACAAATATATCTATCTATCTTCAAGCAAATTATATTCATTCAAGAATATATTTAATATTTGCGGATATATGTAAATAGTGGTAAACCAAAAATATGATTTTTCATGAAAAATTGGAATTAAATAATCTGAAATATTATTTCCCCTTCAAAGCACTGGGCAGGTAGCTTTATACAAGACTTTGTTAGGGTAATATATCTATATACAAATATATATATATATATATGATTACCGAGTGAAACATAGTGAATGAGACGGGGGTTGCAGGGGGGCATAGACCCCCCCATAGGAAATTTTTGAAATTTGTTATCAAAACTAGTAATTTTAGCTTGAATGTTATTGTTATATAGACAACTAGCTGAAGGGCTCGGCGTTGCCATAGAAAAAAATTAGTTTAAAAAATGTAGAAAAAAAATATTTTTAAAATTTTTTTTTTTTAAATTCGAATTTTGTTTTGCCTATAACACCCACAGAAAATGTCAGCCCAATCGGTCCAGCCGTTTGGCCGGCTATAGGGAACAAATATACATACGATCAAATGTCTTGTTTTATTATATAGATTTTATATTCAGTTCATCAAGACTATTAATGTTACAGTGAATTTTTTTTATAATTCTCGTTAAAACCATCCAATTTTCTCTGATTTTGATGTTTTGTAAAGTACACAGAAAATTTTCATAATTTTCTTCAAAAGTTTAAGAATCACATTATTGATACGTTGATACGATAATGCAAATCCTTCATAAAAACATCATGTAGATGTCCGTATCTCAACCAGCCATGCATATGAAATGTTTGAGAACATAAAATAAAGTACAAGTATACAATACAAGTACATTTTATGTAAGAATTGCTCTTTAATTAAACCAAAATATAAAATGCAATTATATTTCCGTGAAAAATTTAACTAATCCGACTAAAATTATTAATGATGCATAGTTAAATAAAGATCGTTTTGTATAACGTTTATATAGTATATTTATGGAGGTTCAAAATGACGAGACTAAGTTGTTTTGCTTTGAACCTTGTCTTCATGTGTTCATATGTGTACCTTGATATCAACGTTGGTTTCGTCTACTTTTTTATCATGAAAATCGTCTGATTATCAAAACTGACATTGACCCGGACCCGGGGCAACCCATTAATCTTTACCCTTTGTACCGTAGATGTATATCTTAAATTCCTACTCGACATAATTCATTAAACTGTCCTATCTGGGTGAATAGTATGTGTGTGTTAAGTTTTAAATGAACAAGTACACCAAACTGATTCTAATCACTTTTTTTTCTAGATTCTCTTTGAATTTGAGTATGCAGTGTTGTGGAAAACTTCTTTCGGATTCATTTGAGACATATTAAACTTTTTCAAGATCTATAAATCCTGAGTTTGAGCCCAAATTCGACGTTCAAAACTCCTACTTTAGGGGTGGATACGTTTTCAGAACTAGCTTTTTTTAATTATTAAATAACGACAACGAAAAATAAAGTAAAAATTATACAGTAATCTAATTAGATGGTTAGAAACATATTTCTCAAAAGAAATTTGTCAATAAATCAATGCTAAAATCGATTATTTTGTTTTCATTATTATTTTGAATTTTTTATTTTCTTTGAATTTATTCGCAGATTTCTTTAAATTCTTCAAATGCCGTCTTTTCAATAATAATTCTAGAAAATCTGCAGAAAATCTTTGTGAATAATGAGAAACCAGAAGAATGAAAAAATAGAAACTAATAATTGAACAAGATTACTTATTTTCGATGATAAGATTAATTTTTATTTCCTATACATGACGTCTGTAGTTTATTGTAGAACTTTTTTACATTTTATGGCGTCGTTATTTAATAATTAAAAAAGAAACTAATTCCGAAAACGTATCCACCCCCAAAGTAGGAATTTTGAATGTCGAATTTGTGCTAAAACTCAGGAGTCAGGATTTACAGATCTTTAAAAAGTTTAATATGTCTCCAATGAATCCGAAAGAAGTTTTCCACAACACTGCATACTCAGTTCAACTACCTTACATAGCCGGTCACTCCCTTTAAATAACAAATAAACAATTGATAACTAATAACAGGCATTTTGCAAGCAACCAACATAATAACAGGATAGCACACAAGAAATTTAAAGTACTTGCATTTAAATCCAAAAATTTTGTAAGGTTCATGAATTAACGTCCAAAGCTGTAAAAATGATCAAAATTACGTCCCCCATATCTGCCTCCTGGATCTCATACCACCTATATATCTTACACCCATTGGACCTGGATCCATGCATCTATCGATCATGTCGATGTTCGCCTCCACCTCTACATAATTCTTCTCTGTATCCTCTGTAAGGTAAATAATATTGCTGTTAAGGTTGGAATCCGAATCCTACACCATACAGACTAAACCCACTGTAGTTGTCATGTTCATTGTTTCTAAATATTCCACCTCCTAGCTCCCGAAAACGTTCTCCTAGTGGACACGATGGACTGAAGTGTCTAAAAAAGACAATAACTATACAGATCTTGGTAGGTTAATGTACGAACGAAAAACGATTGAAAATTCAGTGCATGGTAATAAAGTTTTGTTGGTCGATATTTTGGAAGGGGTTTCGTGCACTGCTTCTGAAGCAAGCTAGGGAGGGGAGTTGAATGTCGCCTTTCTTTAGTGTAAACAACAGAAAGGGTTGCCCAAAAAGAACAAGACTTCAGCGATGAATGTTCAGAATTCAGTCGTTTTCTTACATTCCCTGAATTTGCACACTCTTTTTTTTCTTTGCCAGATCATTTAATGTATTTTCAAGAAACTTTGAATTAAGTAAAAAAGTACAAACTCAACCTTCCGGAGCTGAGAACTTTAGAATGGTGGATTAATGCTTAATCCTCTTTTTTTGCTAATCTGGAGACTAACATAATCTCGAGATTAAATATTTAGATCAACAAGTTTGATTATAGGAACGTTTTCTTGACTGGAAGGGCCTTCACTTAATTTCTCACCCATTTATATATTAATTCCTTGGTTAAAATTGGTTAAAAAAGAATCTCAAACGAACCATAAATATTTTTCTTTATCGATAAATTTACGAAATTCTTTATTTGTTAGAATTGCGGATTTCTCTCTTGGGATAGAATTTATTTTCAAGGCTGTCATTGGTCAATACAATTTACGAACTATATTCCTGCACTCTCATTGGAGAAAACAATGTACGGATATCCAAAGAGAGAAAGAAAAAGAGTGGATTATGGACTAAAATTAAGTTTCCACAGTGGATGTTCGGATTAAGTAATTGGGATTAAAGGTTATCCATTCTAAAGTTCCCAGCTTTGTCCTCATATTAAAGAGT